CAATTTCTTCATTATTTTCAACAAAGAAATCTAATACATCAATCAATATTACAGGTGTGGCTGAAGATAGGCTCGAGCAGCTGAAGAAGTTCGCTCCCGACCAGAAGCTGACTAAAGATGGAGATACTTACACTTATTATAACGTTACACCCGAGGGACCGCAGGAAGTCAAATTCAAATCTGGAGTAGAAATTGATGAACTTCTTGGCGCCTCAAAAACGCCTGTAAGTACAAACTTTTTTTTCTTTATAAAACAGGATTGTGCTCTTGGTTTGTGAGTGCATCTAGAAATATTTCAACCAGAAACACCTTCAAGAAAATAGCGTATTCATTTTGAAAAGGCCAGCAACGCACCTGTGACTCCTCTGGTGTTACGGGTGTCCATGGGCGGTGCTGATCGCTTACTATCAGGTGATCCGTCTGCATGTTTGCCTCCTATTCCATAAAAAACCTAAACCCGTTTAATTTACAAATTGGAATCGAAATCAAATACGTATTTCATTGCAGCACAGTTTGTAGTTAGTCTCTTCCATATCAAGTCACCTTAATAGAGACAAAAATAAGAATACTTTGATTTTAATTCTATTCATTATCTGTTATAAATTCATAAACGAACTAAATGTTATAATTTGTATCTTCCAGGTTAAGAGCACATATGTGGTTGAAGGCAATACCATGACACAAACAGTCAAGTCTCCTGAGAGAGGTGTTGCCGTCTTCAAGAGAGAGTATAATGGAGATGATCTCGTTGTGGTAAGTTCAGTAAAAATATTGGCACTCTTGTTAACTCTTGGAACAGTGAGTAATATAATAATGTTTAACAGTGACATGACATTATAATGAAAATAATGAACTTTATTTTTAGAAGGTTTTGTGTCAGATGAGATTATTACTGAAAGTTTTAATTCCCATAAAGTTAAAAAATAAACACAAAATGCAATATTTGGTCAACTTGGCCCCAAAGTTTAGGTAGCACTCTTTAATTTTGGAATGATAAAATCATCGCTTGATGTTTCACTTGCGATTCATTGATTAACAAAGCAGTTGTTGTTTTTTCTAACATGTTAATATTTTGCTTTCCAGACCCTTACCTATGAGAAATGGGATGGCGTTGCGAAGAGATTCTATAAGGCCGAATAAAAACTTCTTCATCATCACACTCTAGGCTAAATTATAGTGATTATCACATTAGACGTCATGACATGGTTTGAAACCAATCGTCACTCTTCGCGTTATTATTGTATTTTTAAGTTCTAAATTATTTTTATGAAGTTATTTACTTATTTATTTTAATAAAAATATCACTGCCAAGTACATGTTTATTTTTATTTACTGAAACTCCGACTCAGTAAGGTTTGGTTTGTATCCTTTTACATAGTTAAGTACTTTAGATTCTAAGTGGCAGAAAGGTAACTACAGGACACTTAGTAAAACTTTTTCAAAATTTACCTTTATGAGTGCATGACACCGATTTACTATCGTTACTAATCTTTATACCTAAATAAGTAGCTAATTACTAAATTATAAAAATTAAATACATAATTTAATAAGATTTTTCGTGACATTTATTTTTTTGACATTTATTTTTATCATTCCTTATCAAAACAAAGTCATCATGACTAGTCGAAATAAAAATTAAAGATGAAAATTAAGATCATAATTAAAGAAATGAATTGTATCTAAATATGCCTGAGCTTATACATGCATTTATTATGCGTGTCAAAGGTTTAGCTATGACTTCAGATACGAATTTTATTACCGCGGTGGAAACTTCATCGAGAACAAAACTATTTTTATTTTTCAAGTGTTTTATTACACGTAAAATATTCAATGATACTAATTATGATATTACAGTAAACAATTAT